TATTCACAATTTACTTTTATTTACTTATGTTTATCACTGTTTACCTTTGTTTACTTATGTTTATCGTTATTTACCACGGTTTATCATTGTTTGCCTAGGCTTACTTATGTTTATCATTATTTGCCACTGTTTACTTATGTTTATCATTGTTTACAACTGTTTGCTTATGTTTATTATTCTTTACCACTGTCTATACTTATGTTTATCATTGTTTACCCCTGTCTACTTATGTTTATGATTGCTTACCTATGTTCATCACTGTTTATCATTGTTTGCCACTGTCTATTTATGTTTATCACTGTTTATCATTGTTTGCCACTGTTTACTTATGTTTATCACTGTTTATCATTGTTTGCCACTGTCTATTTATGTTTATCACTGTTTATCATTGTTTGCCACTGTCTACTTATGTTTATCACTGTTTATCTTTGTTTGCCACTGTCTATTTATGTTTATCACTGTTTATCATTGTTTGCCACTGTCTACTTATGTTTATCACTGTTTATCATTGTTTACCACTGTCTACTTATGTTTATTACTGTTTATCATTGTTTGCCACTGTCTATTTATGTTTATCACTGTTTATCATTGTTTGCCACGGTCTACTCATGTTTATCACTGTTTATCATTGTTTGCCACTGTCTATTCATGTTTATCATTGTTTGCCACGGTCTACTCATGTTTATCACTGTTTATCATTGTTTACCACTGTCTACTTATGTTTATCACTGTTTATCATTGTTTGCCACTGTCTATTTATGTTTATCACTGTTTATCATTGTTTGCCACGGTCTACTCATGTTTATCACTGTTTATCATTGTTTGCCACGGTCTACTCATGTTTATCACTGTTTATCATTGTTTGCCACTGTCTATTCATGTTTATCATTGTTTGCCACGGTCTACTCATGTTTATCACTGTTTAGGATGTTACAAGAGTTCTGTTCCCACACTGATGTTTACTAAATTAACAGTAAACTCTGGAGTTTGGCTAAATCGTTGGTCTTAAATCAAGCCTTATCTCGTAGAATGAGAAAGAAACACGTTAAAAAGAGATAGAGCCAATGGAATACCTAACAACATGCACCAGCTTCAATTGAATAATAATATTCCATTAACCGCTTCTAGTAGCTTCATTCTTCTCTCCTTTCCTTCCTCCAGGCTCTGGGACTCCAGTCTCTTCAGTTCTGCTTGTAGCACTCTTATCTTCTCTCTTATTAAGGCTGCATTTTCTAAAGGATTATTTTTGTCCTCTCCATTGGACTCCATTTTAAATAATTACAAGACTCTAGTAGACTATAAGAGTTAAAAATAATTCCAAAGATAATAAAATTGAATAATTTGAAAATTAATTAATCAATTTCAAAAGGTGTGAACAAACAAATTCTAATTAGCTAATTAAGTATGCATGACAGCCAAAGTACCTATTATTAATACTTCCTAAGTGGTGAGTCCAACTAATGAATACTCACTATTGGTAGTGGCTTGTGTGGTTTAATCATTGTCCTCTTATAATCTTTAAGAGTATTCTTCAGGAGAGGAGGAATAGGGTATCCAACTTTAATCTCAATATATTCAAGTGATGGATGGATGAAGATAGTTTCATATAAATGTTGTACTAGTTCTATCCAGTTAGGTTGAGATGAGTTTTCATTAATGCCTTTACACCGTATCCTCAGTAGTCTGATGGCTGTATGTGACTGTAACATGTTAGTAACAGCAGGTAGTACCTGTTCATAAAACAATGGTGTCATTATTTGTACCTTCTCTTCCTTACTACAGTTACTGTATGACTGATCTGATGTGAAGTTCACCTTAAGTTCTGTGAGATTTGTGAGATTGTTCTTTTGAGAGATGACATTAATGAAAGTTCTTATCTCTTCATTCAGTGGAAGTGGAATGGATACACTCAACTGCTGTAGACTGGTGTTGTGTCTGAGACCAGTTGTTAGGAAGGACAGGAATGAACTGGGAACAGCCATCTTGTCTTCATTAATCTCAAGGTATTTTAGTGTTTGGTTTTGTGTTAGCATGTCTTGTAGACTAGTACCCATAGTGCTGGTATATACTCTCTCCTCCTTTATCTCCATACTCAGAGCTTTAAGTGTAGTATTGGGTTTTAGAATAGTAAATAGTTCAATAGCACTCTCAGCTGTGTCTAGTGGTAAAGTAAGTGTATGTAGACTGGGATGAGAGAGAAATAGAAGATATGGTGGGTATGGATTAGGTAGTATCAGACAGTGTAATCCTTTGATATGTGGAAGGAGTGATGATGTCATCAGTTTACAACTCCACTCTATCTCTAGAGCAGTCAGTGGTGTGTTCACCTCTACTACATTCAGTGATGATGGTAGGAGTTCATCAGATATGTTCAGTAAAAGAGCTTGTAATGTGTTGTTGTCCTTTAGTAACTGCTCTATTACTCCATCAGGTAGAGGAGGAGGAGCAAGTACATGTACATGTATTATAAATGATGTTATTGTTTTATTTCTTGTTACTCCTCTAATGACACTGATAATGGTACTTGTTATTTCATACCATCCATAGTACTCAATCTTCATTTCTTGTAGTGTTGAATTCATTTCTATACATTTCTCAAGTTCAGTGCATTTGTCTGTGCAGTATGTATTGTCAACTGTTGGTATAATAGGGCTGACCATTATTAAGTGCAGTATCTTCAATTGAGGAAGATTGAGGAACTGTAACAATACAATACAAGGAAAATATTTACCTTTTAATAATTTACAGTAGCACTGATGAATATTGTATAGAAGTGATGGTTGTAGTAATTTGTGTATTATTTTATCAGTGGGCAGACCAAACTCTACCTCCAGTCTCTTACACTGGGTCTGTAGTGAGTTACTTGTTAGTCCAGCAGTAAAGACTGATAGCGACTGTTTAGGTACAGTCCTCAGGTGCAAGTGATTCCATGTTGTGTTGGAATTGTTTATACAATGACTGAGACACAACCAGTCAAACAATGACAATGATACTCTATATGGACACAGTGTGTGGTTGTTGATAGATTGTGCTAATACTTGACATAGTGTGGTGTTCTGTGATTCATACAGGAGTTGAAAAAGAAGAATGGGAAAATTGTTGACAAAATCATCAGAACTGATATGATCATTATTTAAAAATGAAGAATTTAATCTAATCTCTGAATTCTGATAGAAGTAGGAGAGATGACAAGTCTGAAATCCAAACAATGGTTTCCTCTTACACTCTAAGTCAAGTTGTTGTTTATTAAAATACTGTTGATAGCTCTCATGTTCTAGGTGAGTTAGACCTGCCACAAATCTCAGACACATTTGGAAGTGATCATCATCAAAGTGATCCTTAAATACTTCCTCTGTCTTCTTCTCATGCTTAGCTATCCACCATGCAGCTAGAAATTCCTGTATACTTAACTGAAGGAACTGATACTTCTCCTCATCATATTCTGTAAATGTTGTCATCAATCCAAGATATTCTTCCTTGACTGCCTCACTCAGAGACTGTAGTTGATGTGAAGAGAATGTCATTCTTTTATTAGCCAGGTTAGTATAAGCTAATTCACACATCTCTTGTAAAGGTTTAGCTAATTGTGATGGTAATGAAGAAAGACTACCTAAGAAATATGGGCTAAGGTCATTTTTTGATTCTTTTTCAACATGTCTTCTGATAGTTTGTAGGATAAAGTTCTCATAGAGTTGAGTGAGTGTTGTTGGTAAGTGTCCTCCTTCCTTACAATAAACTAAGATGACCATGGAACAGACTAGAGGTACATAACACAATGATTGGACATCATTTCGTACTTTAAGATCATTAATGAGTTTCACTGCTAGTTGTGAGTCCTTACTGCTTTGAGTAGTTGTGAAATGTGATTCGTATTTGTTTTCTTGAATGAATTCTTGAGCTAGTATTGTATCTTTTTGAAGTGTTTGTATAATTACTGTTGATATTTCTTCCTCAGAAAACCCAATGACCTGAACATGTCTACTGAGAGTATCCATTTTCAAAAGTGAAGAGGAGGCATAGCTACGAGAGGTAACAATTACTGAACATTTGTCTAACTTCTCTTTACAAATGATACTAGCAGCTAATGAAGACTGTCTGAGTTGTTCACTTAGTTCATCCCAACCATCAAAGACTATCAGTAATCCCTCTCCATTCCTCTTCTCAAACCATTCAGCTACCATGGGAACTTCATAACATTGATGTACAAACAGGTCAGCTAGTGTAGTAGCTGTAGCTATCTTGCTATTCCTTAAAGGACAGTAAAGTACCAAGTCATACTGTTGGTGTACAAGTGGTCCATTAGACCACATATTTAACAGTTTGCGACAGAGTGTGGTCTTGCCAATACCAGGAGGACCGTCTATTACTACTCTGAGAGACAGAGAGCTATCTGTGGGTTGGAGGACATCTTCAATACTTATCTCTTTGTTTTCAGTTAGTTTAACTGTTTCATCAACTTGTCCTCTTAGCAGATGCCAAGCTGATTTTGCTTGTGTGCTGGAGTCTTGTTTTTCTACTAGTGCTAGTCTTCCATAGAAATCTTTTCCAATTCTTGGTGGCCAGTTGGTAGCAACAATAGGTTGGTGTTTGTAGTGTTGTCTCATATTGTCAGCATATCCTTGAACATCATCAGGTATTGAACTAATGGATGCAACATCATCAGGTATAGACTGACCTAATGTATTGAGATATAATGACTATATTGATCAATGATAATGTACACACACACACTTACCTAACTGGTGTAATATAGAAGTAGTAATATCTGTTAGTGTACGATGTTGTTGGTTTATTAATACATGACATATATCAATAAGATACTGCTCTGAATTAAGAGAGGATTCCAACTGTTTTTCAATGACATTCATAAGGTTGGCAGCTTTAGTAAAATTATCAACTGCTGGTACAAGCATTTCCTGTTTAGTTTGTTGTGGTATCAGTTCTTTAGCATACAGTGCATATGCTGTTCTTGGAATGTCAATAGAAATACTATCAACAAGTTTAACAGAATGAGTCCTTAATATATCCTTTGGATTACCTGCAGTAGTGCCATTAGTTAATGAGTGTTGTATTAAGTGTATGTTTACCTGTTATAGGACCAGGATTAGCATTACTGGTACTGACTTCCATATCATCATTAGTACTTCTTCCAGCTGTGGGATCTGTCACTTTGTCTTCAATAGTTCTAGCTAGTTCATTCTCTTTACATTGTTTCAAAGCATTAATGACATCTCTCCATGATGCTGTAGGATTAACTTGTAACCATCTCTTATGCAAAGCCATTTTCATGAGGTGAGCATTTCTTTTCTTTTTATCAATTATATTGACATCAGATTGTGTTATTCCAGGAAGACAAAGAGCAAATGGTTTCAAGTCAACAAGTGGTTTAAGGCACTTTGCAAATAAGAGACAAGATGGTTGATCATCAATCACAGGACCAGGATTGAGTTCAACATCTCCTGATAAGAGGAGGAGCATACGTAGACAAACAATTAAATAGAGATCATTGTAAATCAGGTTAGAACTGCTGCCTCCAGGTAAGACTACTGACTGGAGGTAATTTGTATCAGTAACAGTAACACCAGTAGTACATTGTACTTGGTAGCAGTTACCTAATAATAAAATACCAGTAAATATACAAGTACAAAGTTGCAATTGTTGTTTACCTGTTGGAGGAATCATGAAGATGTGTCTCAATAAAGAAAGAGAGAGAAAAAGGAGTAAAGCAATAAGAGACAGAGCTGCTGGCAGTTTAGATGTCTTCTCTCCTGATGTAGTACTGCCTGACTTGCTGTCTACTGCAGCTTTGAATGAGTGAGAGTGGCGGCCATTAGTTGGTCTACTGGAGGCAGCTTGACAGTAGTTCCACAGTCCAATACTTGCTCTCCATTGAGAGACATCAATCATCTTGTAATTATTAGTAAAGTATAATTAAAATGAACTATAATATACTTACCTCTATCACTGTTAATGATCAGCTGTTGTAAGATAAAGAAATGAAAGATACAGTCAATAATTATAAAGAACAAGGTACAAGCCAATTGTGCTGAACTTGCAAGCTCCTCCTTCCTTATCAAAACCACATCCGCCTGACAAGTCAATTTTGTCAGCTTTGTTTTTTTTACCTACTTTCAACTTATTGTTGAGGTAAAAGTTACTAATTTTAATGCTAGATATACAGCTTAGAAATAGTAATAGGAATTCATTTATGTATAATAAAATCAAACAGCTGACAATTTCAAATAATAATCAAATAATAATAATAACAACAACATTAATAATAATAATATTAATAATAATAATAATAATAAGTCAAGCACTATATATTAGTCACAGCTAACACTCCCTCCCTCTCCTCCATTATTCCAATCAGTTGCTGGAAGTGGCAGCTGCTACTGAGGCACTCACTCCGGCTCTAACTGCTCCTTTGGTTGCGTCTCTCACATATTTGTTACCAGCAGCACCTTTGGCAGCCTCAGCAGCTGCTTTATCTAATGTACCGCCAGACAGACAATAATAACGATGAATCTAAAATAATAATAATAAATACAATTAATTTAATTAATATAATTAGTCTCTACTAATTATTAGTGTTTTTTAAATTAATGTATGGTGTACTAATAAGGAATATCATGATGGCTGCCCAGGGTACTAATAATAGCCAGAAGAAGGACAGAGCCGATTGGTTTATTGGCCTTGATAATATTAGCACCTGAAATAATACCACTAGAGGGGGATGGAGAAATGACAATAATAATGCTAAAAATATTTGATGGTTGAGCTATAAAAAATACATTGTAATATTCTAATTAAAATTAAGATTATTTTTATAAATTTTGAAAGCTTCATCAATTGTGCTATTCATCATAAAATTCAAGTCTAGCAAAACAAACGTCCATCTTTAAACCAGCCCATCAGCAAAACTAAAAGTTGCATTATTCTCCTTTTTTTAACTACATCCTGTTAAATACAAGTAGACATATTGGTACTGTACTTACATTGAGAAACTGGGAGGACCTAGAGCAAAAAAGACCCAGACAGCACACTGGATCACCATGATGAAGAAGAACCACATGAAGGCAAGGGAACTGTCCTTCCTAAACAATCAATCAGTCACTAACACTCTAACCTCACTCTCCTACAGTATAACATGCTATCAAATTTAAGCATCAATTTCCTCCAGCATGCTTCAGTATGGGATCATAGTGAAATGACAAATTTTTTAACAAGAAAAAGGATTTTTACAAATTGTTTTTCCCTGCCTTAAATTCAATGGGACTACATACATTGTAGGATTACCTGTGAGCGTAATATGCAGGCATGAACCAGCAGAAGAGAGCACCAATAGGTAACATGAAGAGCCACAGTATACCCAATACAATGGTCACTATTGAGTTAGTGGGAGAGAAACTGATGGTAGGATCATTAGCCTGACCAACAGCAATGGCACCAGGTATTGATAATGAGTATTATACTAAAAATAAATAATAATAATAACAATAATAATAAATTAATAATAATATTCATTAAATAGGGTGTGGCTCATTAATATCATTGTGAGCCCCACCCATCAGTAGCTGCATGAACACTCACCAAAAACCATAACAACCAAACTCCTGATCTTCCATTTCTCGGAGGGAGGGATCTCTTCACTGATGTTCAAGTAGAAATATGGCTGACAGGGACAGAACTTTGGTAATGGCAGGAAATTTCTTGGATGAGCTACACACAATATATAAAGAAATGTAAATATGATCTTTCTCCTCCCTCTCTCTCTCCCTCACCGTCTGCTCCTAGTTTGGACAAATTCTTTTCTATTTCTTGAAGCTGTGACTCTCTATTAGCAATCTCCTAATAATAAATAAATAAATAAAAATAATAAATAAATAGACACTAATTAATTATGAACATGTTCCATTGGGAGGCTATATTCCGACTTCAATTCTTCAAGTTACGGCCATTTTAAGAAAACGCCCAAAATCTGAAAAATACCCAAGGCTATAGCCCATGGTTTTTTCCAAAAAATGGCTCCGGAATCACCCCAAATTTTTATTACATTTTCTAATATATATTGATGCCCTTATGCTGTGTAGAAGTTTGAGCTGATTCCGACTTTAAATTTTTCAAGTTACGGCCATTTTATAAACAAGCGTGAAAAATCTGAAAAGGCTATAGTCCATGGTTTTTCAAAAATGGCTCCGAAATCACCCCAAATTTTTATTATATTTTCTGATACATATTGATGTCCTTATGCTGTGTAGAAAATTTGAGCAGATTCTGACTTCAATATTTCAAGTTACGGCCATTTTAAGAAAACGCCAAAAATCTGAAAAATACCCAAGGCTATAGCACATGGTTTTTTTCAAAAAATGGCTCCAAAATTATCCCAAATTTTTATTACATTTTCTGATACATATTGATGTCCTTATGCTGTATAGAAAGTTTAAGCAGATTCTGACTTCAATTTTTGAGTTAGGGCCATTTAAAAAAATGCCAAAATCTGAAAAATACCCAAGGCTATAGCAGATGGTTTTTTTCAAAAAATGGCTCTAAAATCATCCCAAAATTTTTATTACATTTTCTGATACATATTGATGTCCCTATGCTGTGTAGAAAGTTTGAGCTGATTCCATCTTCATTTTTTTAAGTTACAGCCTTTTTAAGAACATGCCAAAAATTTGAAGCTCATGGTTTTTTCCAAAAAATGGCTCCAAAATCACCCAAAATTTTTATTACATTTTCTGATACATATTGATGTCCCTATGCTGTGTAGAAAGTTTGAGCTGATTCCGACTTCATTTTTTAAAGTAACGGCCTTTTTCTCAAGGTTATAGCCCATGGCTTTTTCCAAAAAATGGCTCCAAAATTACCCCAAATTTTTATTACATTTTTTGCTACACATTAACATCCTTATGCTCTGTAGAAATTTTGAGCTGATTCCAACTTTAATTTTATGACCATTTAAAAATGACAAAATTCTGAAAAATATTCAAGGCTATAGTCCATGCATGGTTTTTTCCAATTGTTGGCTCAGAAATCCCTCCCAATTCTTATTACATTTTCTGATATAAATTGACATCCTTATAAATTTAAGCTAATTCCGACTAAAACATTTTAATTTAATGTCCTTATGCTACAATACATGTACATATGTACAATGTATACTTACAGACTCTTGATGCATAGTCAGGTCTTGGTATTATTATGATCCTTTGATACATGCCACATATAATCCTTTTACATCAGCATCTACACACACTGTATAATTATTACTAGTGTATCATGATTTCTACTAACCAAAAGGTCTAGTGGAGGTACCAATGATCATTACTCTTTCCTCTGGTTTCATACCTTTCAATATCTTTGGTAGTGTCTTCTTGAATCTTTTAGGATCAGTCTATAACATTAACAGATAATAGAGAGACAGTAATAATTATACTGTAGCTTTTGATTGAGGTACTTTATCAGTTTTTAGTATCTTTTTTCTAAAAGTTTTCTCACAGTGGCATATGAGCTTAACTGAGGGTGGGCAGGCTTTAGCAACCTTTTAATAAAATATAATATCATTATTATTATTATTATTACTTCTATATTGTTATCATTAGCATACTTTGAAGATCATGTGCAGGAGCATGTTCAGTCCAGCTTTTCCCGGGAATTTACCCGCCACATTAGAGGACCTGAGGTTGAACAGGTTGGTCCCAGTCTCAATGCATATAGTGTGTAATAGACTCTTCTTTCCAGTCCTTCTGGGACCAATTATCATCACAGACTTGATGTGTGGAGCCTTCTCATGAGCTCCCTTGACCCTATATAAGGAGAAATACATGTACATGTACATGTATAATAATGAATCATGTACATGTACATGTACAGTGCAGCCTCTATATAATAAGGACACCTTTTCATAATAGAGGCACTTTATAATGAGGACATTTTGTACTGTTCCTGTTGGTACAAAGTCTACAAACCAGTACCATACTTTACTTAATGCTAAAATACGGTGTTCAGTTAGGACTCTCTTAACGTCAGCTAGTGAAGACATTGGCTCAATCTTTACTGCACTCTTGTCAGTGTTGTTAGGACCAACAGGCTCTGATGCAATGTGGTAGCTAAATGACTGAGCAAAAACACACAAAATAAATGAGCCATGAACACATACACACACCACTTCATTATGAATGCATGGAACATGTACATTTACTGATGTATATGTATATGTACTTACATGTATGTTGTGCAGAAAGTTTGAGCTGATTCTGATTAAAATATAGCAAGGCTGCAAAAGTCGTGGCAGCCATTTTGTTTGGGGGTGAATCCTACTTAGTAACGCTACCGCGTTACTAATTGAATTTTCAATAAATTTTTAAAGTTGCTCTAAATTTACATCAAGATGTGCTTGTGAATGCTATGTAGTAAGTTTAAATGGTTGTAACTTGAAAAATTTAAGTCGGAATCAGTTCAAACTTTCTACACAACATAAGTACATCAGTATGTATTATATTAGAAGCTGGTCCACGACACATTAAAAGTCCGTTGGTTTGTCTACCTCCGGTCTGTGGGTCAATTGGGAATGATTTTTAGCCATTTTTTTAGAGAAAAGCATTGGCTTATAGCATCGTGTAATTGGCTATATCTTCCTTTTTCATTTGCCTATTGTAGAGCTATTGTGAGATGCTTTTGTCTTTGTTTTTTTGATAGTATCAGTGATAATTCCAATTATAGAGATGGGAAATTAGTACATGATGGCGGCTCAGCTTTTACAACCTCAACTAATTAACAAATGAATCAGCAAGTATCAGCAAAAATAATAGTAAACAGACAATCATCCACTAACTAATTATTGACAATATTTATCTCTAATGTAACTAGCAATAGATTTCTCTTCTATTGTATCCAGTGCTGTAGCTAATGATGACCAACTGGGACCTCCTTTCTCTCTCACTCCATCTTCTCCTCTTAACCAGGCAGACATACACTCACGGAAACACTCAACTGGATCTCCTCTATTCTTCTTGTCTATATCCACTAGTCTAGGATCATATAATCCTAACTGTAGACCTAGTCTGTGCCATACAGAGCAGGGCAAGTGTTGATCTGATGTTAATTCTTTAATGACATTACCAAGTTTTTCAATATCTATAAAAATAATAATTAAGTCTACACTCCCTTTACTTTACAATTGTGATAGTACATATTATAACATACCTAGCTTTATTGGAGTCAATGGTGTCTTGAATTCTTCAGTTATTCCAATCACTTCCTATACAATAATAATAATAATAATAATAACTGATATTTGTCACTGTGCTTGTATATCAAGGTGATATACATCAGTAGTGCATTACTGAAATGTGAGTTTAACAGATGTATAAAAAACAACTCACAATTATGACAAAAACTGAGGCTGGGTTTACAAAGCAACGCAAAATGCATCATTTTTTAAACAAAAGAGTATAGCATAAAAAAGGATTGCATATATGATCTTTTGATTATTAGTGCTTGTATTAATGTATCAAACAGTTTGTGTGTCTTAATTCTTACCTTAATATCACGTCTTCCTAATAGTGACAGGTTACTAATATCTGATAATGATTCATCAGGTAGGATCTCCTTCAATCCTGTACGTCTAGTACCAGTAGCATTTACTAAAAACTCTTCTCTCTTGAAAATAGCAGACATCATATCTTTTACACTATACACTGTCCTTTCTCTTGGTGTATTCACAGGATAGGCTAGTTCTTTAGGATCAATAACTAACTCTTTTACCTCTAGACTGGGACAGGAATCTTTATAAATACTCATTACCTTTCCTATCACATCTCTTCTTAGAGACACCATATTGTCACTGTAACCTTTCTCACAGGACATCATTACTAGTACACACTGGCTCTCATCCACAATCTCTACCAGTGATCCTACTCCATGACCATTAGACCAATAGAGTCCATTCTTCCAAAATGTACAACGTCGCTTTAACTTGTCATCTTCTTGAGGTAGAGCCATTTTGTAAGCAAGACGTAATGAGAGGACATGGAAGTATCGAGGAGAAAAGAAATGATGTTTAGTAGTACACTGTAGACACCAACCAAACTGGTACACTTCACTAGTCATCTCATTGGGTCTATCAGTAGACAAAAGACATGGAAAGTGCAACAACCTTTCTCTTCTTCTTTCTCTTCCTCCCTCCTCCTCTTCCACTGCTAACTGATGGAGGTTAGTCATTCTTAGGAAAAATGGATTAATTTCTTCACAAAGTTCCATGTTCTTTAGAAAACGAATCAACATGTCAGGATCATATTTAGGGAAGAGTCTAGTCAGACCAGACACACTAACAATACCAGTATTGCTAGCAATGTCAACGTGTTCTTTGAATGTCTCTGGAGCAAAGAGAATCCCATCCAGCTCAGTTAGTAGTATACCCTTATTCACAACAACCCATACCTTGTCTTCACTTTTAAGAACACTGATTAAACCAATTGAGTGCAACAAATGAAGAGCATCCAAGACGTCTTCTCTCTTATCTGATAAATTATATTCATTATGACTCTTGGTAGCAGACATTACATCAGAGAGGGTCAGCATATTCTCTTTCCTTTCCTCCAGTAGACCATACATCATGTGACAATAAAGACTCAAATTCCTTCCACTTGTACTACGAATGGACTCACAGGCACTACACAACTTATTAAAGAAAGAATCCACACTACTCCCACCAAGCTTACGACAATCTAAGAAGACACTATCACAACTTTCTCTTACAATAATCTCCTGTATTTCTTCCTTTCTCCTTCTCCTTTCAAAAAGATTACTTATCTCATCCACATGACTGACTATTACAAAAACATGGCATTGATTAAGAGCTTTCTGTGCTTCATTTCTCACAACTGTTAGCCACTGATGAAGCTGTTTGACTGGCTTCTTCTCCAATATATTGACTACTATTAGGAACACACCACCAGAACCTTGTAACAGATTCTCAATGACAGCACTGTGACTGGAGTAGTATTCCGAATGACCAGCAAAATCATGAAGAATGATGTTACCCAGTGTCCTGTGTTGTAGTTTATAAGGAATGATACCAGCTGTACAGGGCACTACTCCTCCAACATTTCTAAAGGAACCAAGAACAATAGAACTAATAGCTGTGTCCTTGATGACGTGACTAAGAGTACTTTTACCAGCTCCAGGATTACCCACAAGGAGGACATTAACATAAGAATCAATTGGATGAGATGATTTAATGCCACCAAACTTCTTAAAGACAGAAAGAGTATCAGTGTGACCATTCTCCTTAGCTAGTTTAAATGGTGTGTCCTCATACTTGTTTCTAGCCAATGGATCACATTTACCAGTTGATAGTAAATATTCAACTGCTGCCGATCTACCCCAATAAGCAGCAATGTGAAGAGGTGTCCGCCCGGCCCTGGTAACAGCCATTGGATCACAGTGACACTCATCAATGAGATATCTCATCACATCAACATGATTACCTCGTGGAGCCAAATGAAGACAAGTCCAACCTCCACTATCTCTTTCGTGTGGGTCACAGTGATATTTAGTGATGAGATCTTTTGTAACATCTAACCAGCCATTCCTTGAAGACAAATGAAGTAAACTATAAGGCATTGTAATGTTATTCGGTTTCTTCACTAATGGTAGTAAGCGAACAGCTTCTTTATGATCTTTATTCTCAAACGCAGTCCAACACTGGACCTCTAACGACATCTTGTGAATTTGTGATCAGTTAATTAGATTCATTGATACCAGCCCACACACAGAGCAGGAATTCATTAATCATGATAGGGAGCATAATAATGGCACTCACTGCTCTCTTATAAATATTACATACATTTGGAATTAAAGACAAAGATAATTATAACAATACAGTTAGTAATAAGTGCACGTGTATTTTGTATTTTTTGTGCTTATTTCTTCTTTTCCTTTTCCTTCCCTTTCTTCCCTCCTCCTCCATCATCCTCCGCTCACATTGCTTCTTTGATAGCTTTAGCTTTCTTCTTTCCAAGAGGAGTATTCATTTTTAAACCAAGCCTACATTAACAAAAAAGGTATAAAATAATTATTATTGTTCTATTTATACTATCATTACACATGTAGATTATTTTTAGTAACAAGGTTCTCAGTATTAATTTGCATGAACACTGAAGATTAGGGTTCTGCCTATAATACATGTACTACATCCAGATGCTATTTTTAGCTAACTAATAGATATACTATTTTTAGTAACAAACAAGGTTCCTAAACAGTTCTAATAATTGATCTACTTTGTATGCTTCCTCTTCTTCTCTATAAATCGGATCAAAAAAGGAATGAATTCTGCTGTTGTCAATGGATGCTTACGAAGCTAAAGAGAGCAAGAAAAAAATTTATATTAAAATTAAAAATTATCATTATTATTTGCTTGTTGTATTCTTCTTTCAGTGAGTACTTGTGTTATTGCAGTGATCATGTGTCCTGGAGTGTATCCGTCTGATACTTTAGCTAATGAGCTCATGTCAAATCCATCAGTAACATGTCCGCCATGTTTCAGTATAAGACTCTTCCACTGCTTTCCAAGTACATAAAATAATAAAACAATTGTATTATTAATTTTTGCTATTTTACACATGCATGTTTGAGGTAAATCTGACTTCAATTTTTCAAGTTACAGCTATTTTAAGAAAATGCCGAAATTCTGAAAAATACCTAAGGCATATGTCAAGGCAAAACCAAGGCATAACAAGGCATATTAAAATACACATTTTTCCAAAAAATGGCTATAAAAATCATTCCCAATTTTTATTACATGTTATGCTGTGTACAAAGTTTGAGGTGATTCCGACTTTAATTTTTCAAATTACGTCCATTTTAAAAAATGCCAAAATTAAAAAAATTTCCCAAGGCTATATATAGCCCATGGTTTTTTCAAAAAATGGCTCCAAAATCACCCCCAATTTTTATTACATTTTCTGATACATATTGATGTCCTTATTCTCTGTAGAAAGTTTGAGCTGATTCCGATTTTATGTTTTGAAGTTACAGCCATTTTAAGAAAACGCCAAAAATCTGAAAAATACCCAAGGCTATAGCCCATGGTTTCTTTCCAAAAAATGGCTCTGAAATCACTCCAAAGTTATACATTTTCTGATAAATATTGATGTTTTTATGTTGTGTAGAAACTAGAAAGTTTGAGCCAATTCCAACTTCAATTTTTCAAGTTATGGCCATTTTTTAAAAAATGCCAAAAATCTGAAAAATACCCAAGGCTATAGCCCATGGTTTTTTCCCAAAAAATGGCTCCAAAATCACCCCAAATTTTCATTACATTTTTTGCTACATATTAATATCCTTATGCTCTGTAGAAATTTTGAGCTGATTCTGACTTTAATTTTCCAATTAAAAACAAAAAATTCTGAAAAATATTCAAGGCTATAGTCAATGCATGGTTTTTTCCAAAAAATGGCTCAGAAATCCCTCCCAATTTTTATTACATTTTCTGATACATATTAACATTCTTATAAATTTAAGCTGATTCCTACTAAAACTTTTTAATTTAATGTCCTTATGTTACAATACATGTACATGTACAGTGTATGGATGTACTTACAGACTCTTGATGCATAGTCAAATCTTGGTATCATTATGATTCTTTGATACATGACACATAATCCTTTAACATCAGCATCTACACACACTGTATAATTATTAATTATTACTAGTGTATCATGATTTCTACTAACCAAAAGGTCTAGTGGAGGTACCAATGATCATTACTCTGTCCTCTGGTTTTATACCTTTAAATATCTTTGGTAGCATCTTCTTGAATCTTTTAGGATCAGTCTATAACATTAACAGATAATAGAGAGACACTAATAATTATTGTAGCTTTTGATTGACGTACTTTATCAGTTTTTGGTATTCTTTTTCTAAAAGTTCTCTCACAGTGGCCTATGAGCACAACTGAGGGTGGGCAGGCTTTATCAACCTTTTAATGAAATATAATATCATTATTATTATTATTATTAGTTCTATATTGTTATCATTAGCACACTTTGAAGACCGTGTGCAGGAGCATGTTCAATCCAGCTTTTCCCAGGAACTTACCCACCACATTAGAGGGCCTGAGGTTGAACAGGTTGGCCCCAGTCTCAGTGCATATAGTGTGTAATAGACTCTTTCTAGTCCCTGTGGGACCAGTTATCA